GCCGCCCCCTGCCTTTTTGGAAGCGCCTATGTGGCCGAACGTTGAGGCCAGACCTGCCAAGCTATCGGACCACGTGTTCCCCGAATCGGTTTGGAAAGCCTTCGGGGAACACGTGGGCATCTTGAAGGTCATCTTGGCCGTCTTGGAGGCCTCTTGGGCAAGCTTTGGGCGATCTTTGGGGCTTTTTGGGCCGTCTCGGGCCAGCTTCGAGCCAACTTCGGCCATCTTGGTGGGTTCCTGGCACGTCTGAAGCCGTCGGAAGCCGTTTGGGGGGCCTCTATGGGCCGACTTGGGGCCCGCTTGGAATGCTCCAGGGCCGTCTTGGAGGCCATCTTGGGCGTCTTGGAGGCCTCTTGGGCGTGGGAGGCCTCTGGGGCCATCTTGGGGCCGGGCCATCTTGGAGGCCACTTGGGCCATCATGGGGCTCTCTTGGGGGCCTCTTGGGCGAGGGGGCTTCTTGGGCCGTCTTGAGCCGAAAAGGCGCAAATGCCAAAATCCTTCAAAAACCAATGGAAAATCCATGATTTTGGCCTCTTCGGACTCTCCTGGAGGACCTCTTGGAGGCCTCTTGGGCCGTCTGGGAGGCCTCTGGGGGGCCTCTTGGGCCGTCTTGGGCCGTCTTGGACTCTCTTGGGCCGTTTTGGAGGCCGTCTTGGACCATCTCGGGCGGACTTGGAGGCCATCTTGGGCCATCTTCGCGATTTTTTGAGGATGTCCCGAGCGAAACGGCCGTTTTTGGGCATTGACAGATGGGTTTTGGAAATGCGCGGGTGGCCGGCGGGACGGGCCGAAGCCCACTGGGGAGTTCTTTTAGAAAAAGAACCAAAACCAAAACCTGAATCATCCAGCACGCCGTGCACCCCTGCAAGCAGGGGGCGGCGGATCGAAGACGCCTACGGCGAATCACCGCCGCCCCCTGCCTTTGTGGAGGCGCGTATGTGGCCGAACGTTGAGGCCAGACCTGCCAAGCCATCGGACCATGTGTTCCCCGAATCGGTTTGGAAAGCCTTCGGGGAACACGTGGGCGTCTTGATGGTCATCGTCGCCGTCTTGGAGGCCTCTTGGGCGATCTTTCGGCGATCTTTGGGGGCTCTTGGGCCGTCTCGGGCCGTCGGAAGGCCGAAAAAAGGGAAATGCCCAAATCCATCAAAAACCTTTGGAAAATCAGTGATTTTGGCATCTTTTGGCCTTCCTGGAGGCCCTCTTGGGGGCCTCTTGGGCCCTTTTGGGCCAGCTTCGAGCCAACTTCGGCCATCTTGGTGGGTTCCTGGCACGTCTGACGCCGTCGGGAGCCGTTTTGGGGGCCTTTCTGGGCCAACGGGGGACCCTCTTGGGGCGCTCCAGGGCCGTCTTGGAGGCCATCTTGGGCGTCTTGGAGGCCATCTTGGGCGTGTTGGAGGCCTCTTGGGCCGTCTTGGGGCCCTCTAGGGGCCATCTTGGAGGCCACTTGGGCCATCAGGGGGCTCTCTTGGGGGCCTCTTGGGCGATCTTGGGGGCTTCTTGGGCCGTCTTGAGCCGTCGGAGAGCCGAAAAGGCGCAAATGCCAAAATCCTTCAAAAACCAAGGGAAAATCAATGATTTTGGCCTCTTCGGACTCTCCTGGAGGACCTCTTGGAGGCCTCTTGGGCCGTCTGGGAGGCCTCTGGGGGGCCTCTTGGGCCGTCTTGGGCCGTCTTGGACTCTCTTGGGCCGTTTTGGAGGCCGTCTTGGACCATCTCGGGCGGACTTGGAGGCCATCTTGGGCCATCTTCGCGATTTTTTGAGGATGTCCCGAGCGAAACGGCCGTTTTTGGAGGATTTTTTCCGGTCGTTGAGCACCCTTCCGGGTGGCCGGCGGGTTCTGCCGGAGCCCACTGGGGAGTTCTTTTGGAAAAAGAACCAAAACCAAAACCTAACAGCTCGTCCAGTACGCCGTGCACCCCTGCAAGCAGGGGGCGGCGGATCTAATAGCTTCCGGCCCATCCCGCCACCGTGCCTGGGTTGTGGGTCAGATGCCTCTAGGATGTTCGTTGGGATGTCGCGGGAGACCTCTCGCGGGCCTCGTGGAGGCTTCGAGGCCTCTTGGGGGCCGTGCTGGGGTCTCTTGGGGCCTCGTGGGTGCCTCTTGGGTGCATTTTGGGGCCTCTTGGGGGCCTCTTAGGGCCTCCTGGGGCGGAAGGCTTGGATTTTCGATTCGTGTTCCCTTTGTTGGGCCCCTCATAGGGCCGCCTTGGGGCTTCCTTGGGCCGTCTTGGGGGCGTCTTGGGCCGTCTTGCGGCCCTCTGGGGTCGTTCTTGGGGGCTTCTGGGGACGTCTTGGAGCGTCGGGGTATCGAAAAGTGGAGGTCCCCTTAAACATTCGCGAAAGACGCAAAAAGTGGAGAACCCAATTCTGGAACAATCAGTTTGGCCTCGCGGATCCCTCTTGGGAAGGTTCTTGGAGGCCTCCTGGGCGCTTTTTCGGCTGACTGGAACCCATCTTGGGCGTCTTGGACCGATCGTTCAGCGATTCGGCACCCTCTTGGGCCATCTTGAGGGCCTCTTGGGGCGGCCTTTCGGGCGCTCTTGGCCCGTCTTGGCGCCCTTGTGGGCCCGAGCAGGTCACGCGACAAGCCCCGGGAGCTCCGCGACACGCCCTGGGAGATTTAGGAATCGTGGGCCCGGGCCTCTAAAAGAATCCTTAGGATTGGGCAGGGGACCCGAGAACACTCCAACCCGTGCCTCAAGGGTACGGTCTCGGATAAGAAGTGCCACTGAGTGTGACTGTAACCTTGAAGGAGTTTTCCACATAGAGCACCGTTTTGAAAGCATAGCGACCTCCAGCCGTTTAGACGTTGCAAGCTGTTATGGCAGTGCGAATAGGGGGCTGTGGAGCAGGCGGTCATGGGAGCGCTGTGTTTTTTATGGGTTCCGATCCGCGCGGGCGGTGTGCCGACATCGACGGGGGGGCCGCAAGCGAACCCGCCCGCTCCCTTTGGGCGCGATCCGTGGGCGGAGGCCCCGTGCGATCAGCCCCACGCAGGCTATAGGCGGATCCCTGTACGGGCATCGCCGCTGGGGACTTGAGTGCAGCTCTTCTGGGGCGTGATCCGTGCGAAGGGTCTGCCGACATGGGGCGGGTACCCGCATGCGACCCTGCCCATATTGGGGCCGCAGGTGGACTTATCTATGGGGCGCGGTTCGCTTGAAGGGTGTGCCGAAATGGGCGGGGCCTTCACTCGAACTCGCCCGCTGAGGCCGTAGGGTGGAGCTCCCTGTGGGGCACGGTCCACGCCAGGGGTGTGCCGAGCTTGGCGGATGCCCGCACCGCGAGCGCTCCCACGGAGGCCACCTACGGAGCTCTCTGGTGGGGCACGCTCCGCGAGCAGGCCGTGTCGAAGTTGGCGCGGCGACACCGTGCGCAGCTCCTCGACTGCGGCAAGGCTTGTCGGGGCAATCGGCATGGGTATGCAAATCACGGCTCATTTTGCACAGGATTCGCTGTCGGTTTTGCCGCGGGCGTTGTCCATTTGAGACAAACGGCCGCTTGCCCAGCACCGACCGCTGTCGGTTGTGGACAACATTTGTTGTTGGACATGCTACCCATTTTTCCGTACCCATTTCGAGCGTCCGAAGTTTGGAGTTCCTTGTTGCGCTGGGCGCACATCCCCACTGAAGGCAGTGGATGAGCTTCTCACGGGGTACGCTACCTTTGAGCAGGGGGTTGCGGAAACTTGGCGGGGCGACGCTATGCGCATGCCCCCTGCAGGGATCATGCGTGGAACTCCTTGTGGGGCACGATCCGCGTGAGAGGTATACCTAAACGGGTGGGGCGACGCTACTTTGGGAACCACGCATATACATCACCACCGCGGGCTGGTTTTCTGTCATGGGGGTTGATCGGATTGTTGTTTCGGCGGTAGGTTGCAGGGTGCGTCAATTTTATCGCGGTACTGACATGTCGCGTGTGCAGCGTCATTTGGACACGCGGTTGCATGCGCAAAAAACAACACATTCACGTGGTGTATATTTCGGGGTGGTGTATCGAATTCCAATGGGGTCCATCGTTTTCATACACCACCACCGTACTGCCATAGGGTGCTTGGGAACAATTATTCGCGACCGAATGCGGCCGCCATCTGCGCGCATGACCACGTGGAAAGTACTTGCGCTCGGTGGGGCAGGCAGTGGCACCCCTGTCAGGGCGGTCGCGCGCAGAAATTTGTCCATTCCTACGGCCGCTTGGTGGCGGTGTATACATTGGGGCCCCGCGGCTACGCGCGCACCCCCGTCGGCTCAGTATGTCGGGCTTCCTGTGGGGCGCGATCCCTGTCAGGGGAACGCCGACATGGGAGCAGCGCGGCAGCAAGTGCAACATGGGGAGGAAGGGGCGAGGCGGATCAGGGGGAAAACAATCAGCGCACAGATGAACGTCGATTCCCGGGACAAGACGGGAACATGTGGGAAGTGGAAGGGAAGCCGAGACTCCAGAACATGTGCAAAGATGGTAGGGATCTTGGGATGTGTGGGCGCTTCTCTGTGCGTCCCTGGGCCCCTTCTCAGAGGGGGGCGTGGAGGAGGGGGAGCCGCGCGGCGCAGCCAGGGAGGCAGCGGGGGCCAAGAACGGCGAGGGGAGGGGCGGGCAGGGAACCGTGCAGGGGCGACGAGGGCAAGGGGACGACGGGGAGGCCGACGGGAGCGCCGAAGAGCACGACGAGGAGGAGGACAAGGACGGCGAGGGCGTGGTGGACGACGGGGAGGTCGACGAGGACGAGGGGGCCGACGAGGACGACGAGAGTGGACGACGAGGAGGGCGAGAGAGCATGAGGAAGGCCGGGATGACTTGGACGAGGACGACGACAGCGAGGTGGACGACGAGGAGGAGGACGAGGGCGACGAGGAGGAGGAGGAGGTGGAGGAGGAGGAGGAGGAGGAGGAAAAGGCGGAGGAGGAGGAGGACGAGGAGGAGGAGGAGGAGGGGGAGGACGATCACCGTCGTCGTCGTCGTCGTCGTGGTCGTCGTCGCCGTCCTGGCCTTCCCAGGACGCCACCGTCTACGCGGACGCCGACGACAGGGGGGACTCGCGGGAGCACTGCACCCCAGCGAGCGCGCTGTTGGTCCGCGAGAGCTTCTCGGAATTGCCCGCGCTGTTCGAGGCTCTCGTTGTCGTCGTGGTCTTGGTTGTCATCTTCGTCATCTAGCATGCCCCGGCTTTGGGCAGGGTGGGCCTCGGCATGCTTGGCTGACGGGGCGGGAGAGGGAAAGACTGCGCGCGCGCTCGCAGTACAGCAGGGCTGCGCCAAGAGGGGGCACGCCACCGCCCCGCAGCGATTGCCTTTGCCTCGCTGCGGGGGGTCCCCTGCCCCATCATCGTCGGTGTTCGTTGTCGTGTTTGTTGGGGTCTTCCTGCAGGTTAGGAGTGTTCGATTCGAAGCGCTGTGTCTGGCTGCGGGCACCATCTGGGGCGCGGTGCCAGGGCGCTGGCAAAAACCGTTAGCAGAAGGGGGCAGTGGGCCTCAGTGGGAGTGGGCAGGTGGAGCGGAGATAAAAGGCGCAAGTTGGCTTCTGCTGCTGCCCAGGCCCCTGCTAGACGAACCCCGCCCCTCCCCCTCCCGTCTCTTCTTCCCTTTCTACAGAAACCTCCAGATGACTCCCGATGTGTCCAAAGCCCCCTGGAGGCTTCTGGAGACCTTTGGAAATCCAAAACATGTGACAAACACGTTCGGCAATTTCGAGATCTTAGACATGCTCTCTTACCTTGGATGGTACAGATCGAATAGAGGCGGAGGCCCTCAAGTTGGGCAGCTTTCCTGGAACCTGAGACATCGCCCTTCGGTCGCACTTTTGGGGCGCTCCGTAGGGCTCCAGGGGGCATTCGGGGGCGCCCAGGGCCCCCCCAAATATCCGACGTCGTGATTTCTTGTTCGCGACGCGGACCCTGGGAAGTGTGGACCCCTCCCCCAAGACCCGCTTTTCATGTCGAGTCTTTTGTGGAAGGTCCTGCGGCCGGGTGAGGGCCCGAGGGGGCCAAACTCTGCCCAGACGGGCCCAGAGCCCCTCGTTTTGGGGCTCGTCTTGGCTCCAGACACTGCTCAAAACTGCCACGACGCGCAGGGGGGAGGCGGGTCTCCTCCTCCTCTTCTTCGTCTTTCTCCTCCTCTTCCTCCTCCTCGTCTTCCCCCTCCTCCTCCTCCTCCTCCTCCTCCTCCTCCTCCTCCTCCTCCTCCTCCTCCTCGTGCTCCTCCTCCTCCCCCTCCTCCTCCCCTTCCTCTTCCTCCTCCTGCTCCTCCTCCTCCTCCGCCTCCTCCTCCTCCTCCTGCCCCTCCTCCTCCTCCTCCTCCTCCTCCTCCTCCTCCCCCTCCTCCTCCTCCTCCTCCTCCTCCTCTTCCTACTCCTCATCCTCCTCCTCCTTTTCCTCTTCCTCCTCCTCCTCCTTCTCCTCCTCCTCCTTCTCCTCCTTCTCCTCTTCCTCCTCTGAGGGAGCGGGAGGAGGTCCTGCGGCGCGGAGCTGCACCTCCCGCCTCAGCAGCTTGGAGGTACCTGGGCCGGGGCGCGGGGGCCCGAGGCCCCCAGAGGCTGCGGAGGAGCTGCTCATTATGGGCGCCAACGTGAATGCGTGGAGCAGCTGGACGGTCCTCCACCAGTGGATCGACGAGCAGGTGGCCGGCGGGGGGCTAGAGGCGAAGCCACATGCCTTTTGCCTCCAGGAGACCAGGCTGAAGAGCGAAGCAGCGCTGATTTCGGCGCGCAGCCAGGCAGCCCTCGCCAACAGGAGAATCACGCTGGGCAAGGCGTGCTCGACTGGCCGCGGGGCCCTGGAGAGCTCGGGCGGGGTCGCAGTCATGGCGCACCGCGGGATTGCTTCGGCGGCCGAGCGTCTGGACGTTGGGGACCTCGGGCACCGGATATGTGGGCGCCGCCTCGGTGCAGCAGTGCCGGGCGGAGTGGTGCTTCTGTCCGTATACTGTGAGCACAGCGTGGGAGCGGCGGGGAACGCCGAGCTCCTCGAGCGCCTGGCCAGGATCACCCTCAGCCTCGATGCCATGTGGGTCATCCAGGCGGACTGGAACATGACGGGGGTGGAACTCGAGGCATCAGGCTTCGTTGCCCTGGTGCGCGGCGCGGAAGTGCGACCGCGAGGACTGGAGCAGGAGGAGTAGGAGGCGTGCAGCCGCCGCCCGCGTGCCCCCCCTGCCCTGGTGAGCCCGCCGCCGCTGCCTCTGCGAAGGAAGAGGCAGGCCGCACCATAGACTTCTTCGTCATGTCGCAGGCCCTGCGGAGCTGTGTGCGCTCCGTCCAGGCGCTCCCAGAGGCACCGCTACATCCGCACGCCCCGAGACTGGTCAAGCTGGCGGGGCTGCGCAGCGACCAAGTGGTGCCCAGGCCGCTCCGCTTCAAGGCCTTCTGTCACACCCCGCTCATAGGGCCCAAGCAGGACCAGCTGTCATTTGCCTGGAGCTGGGAGGCTGGGCGGTCCGGCGAGGCTCCGCTGGAAATCATGGTCAAGGAGTGGTTTGCCTTTGCGGAGCAAACGCTCGTCCAGGACCAAGGGATCGAGGCAGAGGACGCTCACAAATACATAGGCCGCTGCACCGGCCCCCAGCTAAAGCAGGTAAGGCTGGAGGACCTGTGGCATCGTGAAGACCGCGGGAGGTTCTCGAGCTCGACCATCGCCTGGATCAGCCTTCTGTCGCTGCTCGGGAAGGCGGCGACAGCGGCCTCCAACCATCCTGGCCCCAGGGTTGGGGCGGCCCCATCCAGCTTCCGCAGGGGCAAGGGCTCATCCTTGCTTCAGCAGTGGAAGCGTAAGCTGCTAGCGATGGCCGAGGAGTTGGACTTCTCCGAGGCGGTGCTGACCAAGCCTCGCCTCCTCGAGCTTGTCGAGGTGGCGACGAGCCCAGGAGGCTGGGAAGCTGCGGGCTTCGGCGAGCACGACGGCAACGGCTGCAGCGTTGCCCCAGGAGGACCGCGGGCCCGCGGGCTCAATGAGAGCAGCGCCCTGGCGGGCGCTGCCATCGCTCCCTGCAGAGGTGCAGCTCCGACTGGTGGCGGGGTCACTCCAGGGGTCCCGTTTCTGCCGAGATCCCTCACCGGAGTGGTCATGCCTCACCCCTTGCCCTGCTCCGCCAGGAGGTCCTTCGGCGCCGCGCCAGGGACGCCACGCAGCGAAGCCAGGGTTGGAAGGCCTGGGTGCAGAAGGCGGCGCAAGGAGGTGGGCGGCTGGCCCACCGCTACGCCAGGCGCAAGGACGAGGACACCGGGGACCTCTTGGTTGAAGAAGCTGATGGCAGCGCCCGGCCCGTAAACGGGCAGCAGGCAGTCCAGAAGATCCTGGATGACTGGGGGCCCCTCTGGTTGCGCTCCCACGCGGGCGACGACCACCCGTCGGAGTGGGAGGTCGAGGACGAACCCCTCCCCCCGGTCTCCCTGCAGGAGCTCAAGGACGTCTGCGCCAGGTACTCGGAGACAGCAGGGCTTGGCTGGGACGGGCTCAATCCGAGGGTCCTCCTGCAGCTGGGCGACGAGGCCCTTCAACGGGCCCTTGGCATCATCATGTCCTTCGAGGAGCGCCCAGAAGCCTTAGAGGCGTTCCGGACCCATATGATCTTCATAGCGAAAGCCGGAGGAGGGGTGCGGCCAATAGGGCTGCTGGCTTTTTCCCCCCGGCTGTGGTCCAGGCTGAGGCGGCCGCTCTGCGCGGCCTGGGAGCGGGAGCACGACGACCAGTTCTTCTGGGGCGGCTCCTCCCTGACCAGTTGCGAGTGGGCGGGGTGCACCCACAACCTGAAGGCAGCTTTCGCGAGGGAAGTCGGCTTCTCCTCGGTCACCGCGGGTGTCGACCTCCAGAAGTTCTATGAGAACGTCAGACTGCGGCTCCTCTACGAAGCCGCCAAGGAGCACGGCTTTCCGCTCAGGCTAGTTCGTGGTCCGTGCTGCATCTACGCTGGATGGCGCAGGGTGGTCTTCGAAGGCGGCGCCTCCCCGCCCTTCCAGGCAGCCGCAGCCATCATCGCCGGTTGCAGCGGCGTTACTACGTTGGCGCGCCTCCTGCTCATCGGCCCCCTTCGGCGAGCCAGCGCAGCGGGACCGTGCGTTGCGATCCGCAACGTGGTTGATGACGTCCTCCTAAACGTCACCGGCACGAGAAAGCTGGTGGTTGAGCAAGCCGCGGCCAGCCTCAGCAGCCTGCTACAGGACTTCGGGCGGCTCGGGCTTCCCTTATCACCAGGCAAGAGCAAGTACCTTGCCTCTGACGCGGAGCTCGACGAGCAGCTGCAGCAGGCCTGGGCCTTTCCGGGCTCGTCGAGGGTCCTTGCGATGAAGGCCCTGGGCACCAACCGCACGCTGGCGGCCAGGCGCTCGGTGGCGGCCCAGGCCACGAGGGAGGTCGAGGCACTCCGCCGCAGCAGGCGATACGGGACCCTTCGGCGCGGAGGCCTCGGCGATGCGGGCATGCTGCAGCGGATGGGGGCTTCCGCCTCGGCCCTGTGGGGTACAGCCACCGCTGGACTGGCGGACGGGCCTCTCCGCAGACTGCGAGTCAAGGCTGCGGCAGCGGCTGGGCGGCTGCCCAAAGGCTGCGCGCTGGGCCTCCGCCTACACGCACACCGCCTCGGTCGGAAACTGGACCCTTTGGTGCTGCACTCGATGGACGTGTTGTACATGTGGGCGCTGGCAGCCTGGGAGCAGCAGGTGCACGGCCGTGTCTTGGAAGTCACCATGGCAGCGGCGCTGGCGCGGGCGCAGGGCAACCCCCGGCCTTGGCTCACGGCCCGCACGCCAGCGGACGCGGCCCTCCTCGCGGCGAGGCGGATTGGCTGGGACTTCGAGGGCCCCCTGGCGATACGCACCGATGATGGCGCGAGAATCGACCTGCTCAGGGTGGGCCCCCGCCAGGTCAAGGAGCAGGCCAAGAAGGCCGCGGCGCGCGCCTCGGACAAGCTAGCGCTCCAGGCCACGGGCAAGACTCTGGCCAGAGGAGTAGTGGGTCTGCCAAGCGGGCCCATCTTCTGGGAGCCGTTACGCGCGCTCCTCCACAATGCGACCCCAGGATGGAGCAAGCGGCACCAGGGTGCACTGAAGGCCCTGGTCACGAACGTCCACTGGCCGCAGGCGCGTCTCTTCGCACATGGCCTGGTCAGCACCGCGCGGTGCCAGCTGTGTGGCGAGCAGCTGGGCAGCCTCTTCCACAGGCACTACGAGTGCCCCTACCACGCAGCCCGCCGCCGAGAGGGCGCGTCGGTCAGCCTGCGGGCCCGAGCTGCCCGGGTGAGGAGGTGGAGCCTGGAGGCGGCGGAGCGGTTCTGCCGCGGGCTCTTCCCCAGCCCCAGCTGCCTGTTCGAACGGGTGGGCAGGAAGGGGGACATCTGCTGGGTAAACAGACCCAGCACAGGGCTGCTCACGGGGTGCCTCTTCCTGGACGGGAGCGCCTTTGCTGGGTCCCTCCCAGGGCTCGAGCATGCCGGCTGGTCGGTGGTCCAAGTCGACCGTTTCGGCCACCTGGAGGCGGCTGCGTACGGCCCAGTCCCCTTGTCGGACGCACCCAACCAAACTGCTCCCGACGCAGAGGATTACGCGGTCCACATGCTGTCGCAGGTGGCGATGGCGCCCTTCCAGCTGTACCTCGACTGCGCCAACACACTGCGCACCCTCGGAGGCGGCGCCGGCGCCGGTACTCGTGGGGTGGACCCGCGCCCCCACCTCTGGGGGCCATTCTGGGCCTCCTTCACGGAGGGCGACTTCGAGGCCCACAAGACGCTGGGTCATGCATCAAGCGGCGACATCGACGCGGGCCGCAGCACGCACTGGGAGCGGCGGGCCAACGACCACGCCGACTCCTTCGCCAAGCGGGGCGCCGCCAGGCATGCGCTCGGCGAGTCAGACGAGGCCCTATGGCGAGGGCTGCGGGAGCTGGCGAAGGAGGCATGCCGCTGGAGCGCCACCCTGGAGGCCGAGCTGGGGGACGGGCAGCGACTGGACCACGAGGACCGGGGGGCCCCCAACCGTCCACCCTCCCCGAGACCCCTCCCGGGGCCCCCGCAAGTGGCGAGGGGCATGGGGGAGAGGTGTGGTGGAGCGCCCAAAAGGCACCGTGTTGGGGCCCGCTGCCGTCCATATGGCGCCCGTCAGGGTTAGCTCGGGCGTTTCATTCCTGGGGCCCGAGGGGGAGGGGGCCAGCCTACTTTTGCCCCCAACGCATTCAAGTTAAAGTTAGAGACCTAGACTGGGGAGGCAACTCCCCAGGGTTGGAATGCTGGCGCTATGCCGGTGCTCCCCTGTCCCACGTAAATGGGGGCAATTTCTGTGCCATTTCTGCCCCCCTTCTGAGGGGGGGCGTGAAAGGGGGGGGGACCTGCCCAAGATGGGGGGCCGCGGCATGAGGACGTGCTCCACGGACACGCCCAACTCAGCGAGGGCGCTGCCCCTGCAGCCGCCGCGGACGGCGACGTCATGCGCGAAGCTCCCGTCAGGGAGAGCCAGGCAGAGGCTGGTCGGGAAGAGCGACCTGGGCAAGGGGACGAGGAGGCGGCGAGAGGCGAAGAGAAGGAGGAGGCAGCGGCGGCTGCTGCTGCAGCTCCGGGGGATGCCATTCCCCCCTCGGCTGCCGGAGGCACTCCTTTTGCCCCAGCCCCAGGGGCGGTGGCAGGCCCGTCCAGGTGGGGCGTGCCGCTCGCGCCGGAAGCGGCGGCGGCCCCAGTTGATACCAAGCATGGGGCAGCCTCCCAGGGCTCAGACGCCTTCGGCTTCGGCGTCGACGACTTCAGCGAGGAGATGGCCCTTGCAAAGGAGCAGCCCCCCGAGAATGCATGCGAGGGCAGCGGGCCGGTCGGCGACACGGGTCCTGCAGGCCCAGCCGGAGGCGCGGCTGCCAGTCCCCAAAGCCAGGAGGGACGCGTCCCAGGGCACGTGGAGCTGCACTTTGGCCTCGACGACCAGGTCCTGGCCAGGCATGCGTGGAGGGCTAGAGGGCACGCTCTCCTGCGCTGCCGAGTGGCGGAAAACCCCCAGATGCGCTTCGTGTTCTGCCTGCGGTGCGGCGGGGTTTTGGCGGGCCGCAAGCCCGGCAAGCTGCTCAAGAACTGGTGCCGAGGGCGGGAGTCCAGCGCAGGCAAAGAGCAGCTACGGCTGGTGCGCCTGTTGCGCTGGCCCCACTACGGCAAGGGGAGACAAGGTGGAGCGCTCGAGGGGCCCTTTGCCCTAGGGCCCGAGGAGCAGCTGCAGCTCGCAGGCGACCTCCTGCTGGAAGGGGACCTGCCCGCGGCAGCGAGCGGCGGGCATCGCGCTGCTGCTGGCGACGAGCGCCTTCCCGCCACGCCGGCGGATGCGCCAGGGCCCCAGGGCAGGCGGTCCGAGCCGAGGGCGGCGCGTCTCTTCGTGCTCCGCTGCTACGGGCTCTCGGAGGACGACCTCGAGGAGGTCCGCCGTGTCGGCCGCGAGGCGGCCCGCGCCCAGGCTGCCGACGCCTCCGACACAGTCTCCGAGGAGGCGGAGCTCGTGGGCTAGAGGCCTGCTGAGGCGGCCCCGGCGCCAGCCCCTTGCCAGTGCCCTCCAAGGCAGATGGACGAGGAAGGTCCATCGATCGTTTGACAGTGCGCAGCAGAACCAGTCGTCCGTCGGCCTGTCGGCCGCGCTTCGGCGCATGTACCCTTACCCTTACCCTCCTCCTCCTCCCCCTTTTCCTCCTCCTCCTCCTCCTCTTCCTCCTCCTTCTCCTCCTCCTCCTCTTCCTCCTCCTCCTCCTCCTCCTCCTCCTCGCCCCCCTCCTCCTCCTCCTCGTCCTCCTCCTCCGCCTTTTCCTCCTCCTCCTCCTGCTCCTCTACCTCCTCTTCTCCTCCCCCTCCTCCTTCTCCTCCTCCTCCTCCTACTCCACCTCCTACTCCTCCTCCTTCTCCTCCTCCTCCTCCTTTTCCTTCTCCTCCTCCTCCTCCTCCTCTTGTTCCTCCTCGTGCTCCTCCTCCCTATTCTTCTCCCCCTGCTCCTCCTCCTTCTTCTCCAGCTCCTCCTCCTCCTCGTCCTCTCCCTCTTGCTCCGCCTCCTCCTCGAGCCCCGCGCCCGCGCCCCCGAGAGGCTGAGGAAGGCACCGCTGGCGCGTTGCGCACGAGCGCGGGGCTTCCGCTGCTGGCCCAGGCGCGGCGGGCGCGCCGCGCACCCGTCCGCCAGGGGAGGAACAAACAAGCAGTAGCAGTAGCAGTAGTAGTCGTAGTCGTCGTCGTCGTCGCCGTCGCCGTCGTCGTCGTCGTCGTTGTCGTCGTCGTCGTCGTCGTCGTCGTAGTCGTAGTAGTAGTAGTAGTAGTAGTAGTAGTAGTAGTAGTAGTAGTAGTAGTAGTAGTAGTAGTAGTAGTAGTAGTAAGTAGTAGTAGTAGTAGTAGTAGTAGTAGTAGTAGTAGTAGTAGTAGTAGTAGTAGTAGTAGTAGTAGTAGTAGTAGTATTAGTAGTAGTAGTAGTAGTAGTAGTAGTAGTAGTAG